TCTTTCCCTCTCTCTCTCTGTGTCGCTCTCCAGGCAGTGCATGTACTGTCTAGCAAATTACTAAACAGAGAGAGAGAGAAGTTGGAGCTAAACCCACAGTACCTCAGAAATGAACTTTATTTGGAGCTAGGGTCTTTACAGAGGCAACCAAATTAAAATGGGCTTATCAGGGTGAGCCCTGATCTAATACGACTGGTGTCCTTGTGAAGAGGAGACATTTGGACCCAGAGACAGACATGCACAGAAGAAGACAATATGAAACAGCACAGGAAGAAAATGGCCATCCACGGCCCAGGAAGGCCTGAGAGCCAGGATCTAGGACCTTGGAGGGACCATGGCCCTGCTGGCACCTTGATTCCACACTCCTAGCCTCCAGACCTTGAGACAGCATGTTTCCAGGGCCTTAAGTCATGGCGTGTGGGGCTCTGTAATGCAGCCTGTGAAACTAACCCCAGTCGGGCCCACGCACTGTTGGCTCTGGCTGGAACATGTGAATGCATTCATTATGTTTTGCTCTCATTGTTTTCATCTTCATGTAGCAGATAGAGTTCTTACTTTTTTGACACTAAGTTTTTAGGTCTAAAGGTGTACGCACATTTTCAGGGCTTTGGGTGAACTGTACTTACTGCAGCAGTGTTATGCCTGCCATTCTTTGTAACCTCTGCCTGAGAAGAAGATAGAAAACCAGACCAGAGAACCAGTGCTTGGGGAGTGAATTCTTGAGAACCCTGGCATTGGAAGATTCTGTCGAGGCTGATTCTAGGAATGGTTTCCCACGCTTGGCCTCCCTGACCATGGGTGGCCACAGACTGCTGGATTATGGAGGTCTCCTTTCATCTTTGCCCAAACCATATGGCTCTCGTCATCATTCCTTCTCTCTAGCAAGCCTGCCAACCAGAACTTGGACCTGCCATTTACGTTTTTTTCCCACAACCTACAGGCAGCTGCTTGAAACTAGGAGGTGGATCAGGTTGAAATTATAAAAAGTTCTAAGCAAAGAGACCACATGTTTTTGTGCAAAGAGTTCTGAGGTTCTGAGAAGCCATGGATAGGTTGTGGTTCTATAACTACCAGTTGCTTGTCCTTGAGGGATCATTCCTTGACCCTCAGGCTCTTTGCTATGGTATGAACGTTTGTGTCCCTCCAAAGTTCATGTGTTGAACCCTAATCTCTGTGTGCTATTATTAACATGTGGCATCTTCAGGAGGTGTCCACATCACAAGGGTAGAGCTCTCACAATTGTGTCCTCATAAAAGAGGCCCAAGGAAGCCTTCTTACGCCTTCTGCCATGTGAGGACACAGTAAGAAAGCTGCTGTCTTTGAAGGAAAGCAGGAACCTTCAACAGACACTGGATCTACTGCTACCTCAATCTTGGACTTGTGGTCTCCAGAACTATGAGTAACATATGTATGCTATTTATAAATTACTCAGTTTAAATATTTTGTTACAGAAGCTCAAATGGACTAAGGCCCTTCATCTGTAAAACAGAAAGAACTATTCCAACCAGGCTGACCTCACAAAGATACTGCACATTTTTGTGGAATGCTATAAAAATAAGGAATCTATTTAAAGAAACCAGAAAACCAATGGATGTATAGGGGAAACTAGAATGCCTTGAGGACTGTATTAGTTTTCTGTGGCTGCTATAACAAATACCACATGATTAGTGGGCTAAACACTGGAAATTAAATCTCTTATAATTCTGGAGGCCAGATTTCCAAAAGTAGTTTTACTGAGCCCAAATCAAGGTGCCAGTAAAGCCACACTCCTTCCAGAGCAATCTATGCATTGCTCTCTCCCCTCCAGTGGCTGCCAGTATTCCTTATGGCTCATCACTCTGATCTCTGCCTCCTGTCACACTGCCTTCTCTTCTTTGCACAGCAAACTTCTTTTCCCCTCTCTTAGGAAGATACTTGTGGTTGCTTCTAGGGCCCGCTCACTTATAACCCAGAATAACTTCCTGCATCAAGACCCTTAGCTTAGTCACATCTGCCCAGACCCTTTTCCTTTATAAAGTAACATTTACAGCCTCCAGGAGTTGGGAACTGGTATTTTTAGTGGCCACTGTTCAGCCTACTATAGGGACATTGTTAGTTATAATGATAATTTATGTGTATTTATAGGATTTCTTTGACTGTTGTGAAGTAAGGTAGGTTAAAGCCTCATTATGAGCTGGATAATTTATGTTCTAGTTATTGTTAATGCCAACCTCGAGAGGGGAAATTATTAACATCATTTCACAAATGAGGACTCTGAGGATCAGAGAGGAAAGGACACTGCCCAGGATGACACAGGCGTGTGGTGGCACTGGTCTCTAAAGTGAGTTTTCTTTCACCCATGTCCCTGTTGTCCATGGACCATGGGTGTGGGGGAGGAATGCCCTTGTGCCAGCTGGCAAGCTTCATGTCCCCTCTTGCATCTTTTGGGGACATGTCCACTGACAATCCAGTGCCTGTGAGTGCTGACTGGAAATCGAGCACCAGGACACCACTCGCATCTGCTCATGACGGGTGTAAGGTCTTCCGAAAGATTCTTCTACTGAAGAGGCTAACTTGATGCTGTTCCCTAATGGGAAGTCAGGACCCCAGCAAGGGGGGACACCCATCTTCCTACATGGGTGAACAGCTCAGCTCACCGGAAGTAAACAGATGGCCACACAGACCACCCTCCAAAGCCCTAGGCCCCTGTGCTCCCAGCAACCTTCCTGTATTTTTCTCTAACTACAGTTGCGGCCAATTTTTGTGACCTCCCGAAAAGCCACCTTGACTTCTTTTATTCAGCGAGTGGGGCTATGAAAACCTAATATCTCATTTCTTCTTTTAAAGTGTTTTCCTTGGATTTAGGAGACTAAACTATGCATTTAGTGGCTGTCTCTTCCCCATCATCGGTTTTCTTTCACTTATGCCTCTTACTTCTCTTTCTCATTGGGATGGCGTTTTTTGCACCTGAGATTTCATTTGAAGGTACCTTGAACCTATTCTGAAAATAAGAATGATACACAAATTGGAGTTAAACAAACCATTCCTTTGGAAAGTTATTTCCCCAAACTGCGAGATCAGTTTCTAGAAGCACAGACATGTAGAATGAACAAAAGAGCTTCCTCCCCCAAGCCTAGTTATTCAATGAATAACTAATCTTCCAATTCCAAAGTGTGTCATCGTTTACAAAGTTTTCTCTCTCTTTTATTTTGCTTTCTCTGCCTGTAACATCATGAAATAAAGGGGTTGTTACTATCATTCCCTGTTTTTCAGATGATAAAGCTAAGACTCAGAGAGACTAAGTGGCAGGCGCCATGTCATTGGGCCAGGCCCGGGCTTCAGCCCCCTCTCCTCTGCCTCCCCGTGGACCACGGTGACAAGGTTTTGCAGATTGCTTCCTTTGCCGACAGCTGCATGGCCATACAGCCGACTTACCTGCCATGGCCGTAGTTTTCGGGAGCATGGTACATGAAGACGTTTCCTCGGGCCGTCTGTGACCAGAGGCTGGCCATGTCAATCACAGGGCAGGTGATGAAGTAGTCCCTGGTTAAAGAGGACAGAAGAGGGTGTTACAAGTCCTCTCTGGACAACTGGGCCAGGCAAGGGACCTCTTGGCCCCAGTCCCTCCTGCCTAGGCCTGTGGGAAATGCCTTCCTTGGGCTCCCCAGTACTCCTTCCTGAGCAGCGTCTCATACACGCTGGTGGAGCCTGGGCAGGCACTTCTCTGGTTTATGATAGGTCACAATCTGAGCAGGTGTCCACGGCAGTGTAGCTCAGGTGTCAAGAGACCCAAGGAATGAACATCTCCCCAGAACATGAATTTTACTAGATTTGAGAGCAAAACAGGTCACAGTATAGTAAATGCAATTAAAAAGATGACAGAGACCCCAAAGATATCTTATGCACATGGTACCCTTAGATAAGTGATTTCACAGCTTCTCCCCGCAACTGACCCCGAGAACCTCTGGCCATGTCTGAAGACATTTTTGGTTGTCACAAACAGGGGGCAGAAAGGTCTCTACTGGCATCTCATGGGCAGGGGCCAGGGATGCTGCTAAATACCTCATAGTGCACGGTGACCCCATGACAAAGCCAGAAATGTCAGGGGGAGAGAAGCCCTGTTCTATATCCCAATGTTTTATCTTAGTCTCCCCTTTAGAGTTCCATGAGGAATTTAAGAAGCACCAGCTTACACAGCATGGTCTCCACATGTAATGCACAGGCTATATCCTTGAAGAGAATGACCAGGGAGACTCAGGTTGACCTTGGGTCCAGGTTTAGAATCCCATTTGCATTGCCAAGTCCAGGCGACACTCAGAAGTCCCTTTAGTCCATGAAATCACTACCTCCTCAGCTGAGAAATGAGGCTAACGGGCCCTTCCCCAGAGATCTTGTAGTGACTGAGTTTAATTATGAAAGCCTGATCGCAGAGTCCCTCAACAAGGAGGCGGCCTCCTGTCTTCTGGACACTGAGTTGTGAGGGCCTTTGATGAGTCTGTGGGGAGCTTGGTGGGTAAAGGTGATGCTGCAAGGTTGTCGAGGGGTGCTGCTGTGGGGATCTTGAAGGACAGATGAAAGTGGCTATGCTTCACCCTGTAGTCCCTTGACAGGGGACCTTGAGCTGGACAGAGAGGGGTGGACTTACAGGAAGAGTCACACCAGCAGCCCTGGGGAGAGACACTGTCCAAGACCCTGGAGATAAAAGGCCCACAGGAGGCCAATGTCTGAGTCTGCTAGGAGGGCAAGAGGGTCTGACTGAAGGCAGTGCATGAGTCTGCCTCCTCCGGGTATGTTCCCTTGATTACACTGCCTTCCCTCAGATCTCAGCTCTCATCCCAGAGCATCAATTTCTCTTCCTGGCAGATAAAAGCAAAGTTGAAGCAAGAACCTGGGTCTTCCAAACTTGCCCCGAGCTCCTCTCCTACACAGAGGGCTAGTCCTGGCCTGATTATGAGCCTCTCAGGGTCAGTGGCTAGACATCTGTGAGTTCCAATGATCCAACCCAGGCCTGAGTCTACAGAAATAGCAGCTGGCAGTTTGATTTAAAGTGGAGCTGGCCACCAGAGGGAAAATTAGTGCCTTTCTGGTCCCCAGGATCCAAGTGGGTGGTACAGAGTTTATTCTGAGCTAGTGACCCTCAGGTTGGAATCACAGACTCCTAGGTGGAGAGACCAGCCTGCAGCAGTTTGCTGACACTCCAAGCCTGTCCTGTCCCAACAGAAGCAAGTCCAGCAGAGACATCTGAGCCTGTCCCATGTCAAAGAGCAAAGGAGAGCATGGACCTTCCAGAGGGAGAGAGAAAGAAGTTATGGACTCCTGAAATTGCCTCCGCCTGGCCATGAGCATGGTCACATTCTTCCTGCAAAGGAAACCGAGGATACACCAGGACCTGGGAGGGGACTCAGAGGTGACATAAGAGTTATATCCCACTGTGGTCTCTTCCCTGAGCTTCTGAAGGGAGGGAGAACTGGAACCCTGGTTATTTCCCCATTTCCACCAAGACTCATTCCTTGTATGTCTGCTACAGGCTCAACAAAACACAGGTCTTGGCTCCCAAGAGCTCAGCAAGTGCTGGGAAAGAGAGAGAGGCTGGATTGGCAGCCACAGCAGAGTGGGTGTCAGTGCTATAATGGAGAGATGCTGGGGGTGGTGGGAACAGCTGTCAGCCTTCTCAGAGTCGGGGTCAGGGCAGGATTCCCCATGAGGGTGCAGCTTCAATGATGAAGGGGGTGAGGCACATGAGCAGTGGGCACAAGATACAGCAGCCCCCAGGAAAGGGCCCCCATGGCCGTGGGGAGCTCTGGGTGGTTGTAGAAAGGCAGTGACCTCAGGCACAAAGCCTCCCCATCTGACCTGTTTCCATGTGCAAGGTGAGCTCTGGCTAAGGGATTGCAGAAGAGGGGGAGCTCAGGACAATGCTCAAGCCCCTGTAGCTAATATGTCAACAGCTCTTGAAATGCTCCCATGTGGGTCTGGGCTGCCAGGCCAGGTGGCCATGAGGCTGGGCAAGCAGTCGGCACTCTACAAGCATTGACCACATGGCTGCTGCTTTGCATGGGGCACTTTCTGCCCACCCCATGGCTTCCACATCACCTGGGGGAGATTTGGGACCACTCCCTCCTATTTCCACTGGTCTAGGAAAACCTGGCAGCAGGGAACACCCCACAGGTCCCCGGGGTGCCACCAGTGGGAGTTACCACATGTCCCAGACAGAAAGACACAAAGGAAACAGCAACGCAGGGCCCTGGGCTCTCACTTTCCACTCACGAGCTGAACAGCTCCTGAGTGCCCCACGGGCCGCAGGGCCTGGCCCTCGCTCACTCAGCTCACCGAGTGGCATTCTCCAGGGCCCGGGAGAAGGTGGCATAGTCGTCCGTGGAGTGCTCCAGGGAGTAATACCACACAGCGGCCGCCTGGATGCGTGGGTCGGAGTCCTCGCCGCCCAAGGAGTTCTGCAGCGCCTGGTAAAAGGCTGTTTTGCTGCTGGTCCGGCCTTGACTTTCCTCAAATTGCTAAACAAGCAAACAGACAAAAAGGCATGACGTTTCTTGGTCAGATTCTGCAAAGCCCAGATCAGTGTCCTATACATGCTCATTCTAGCATTTTGTCTCTGGGAAGCAGCAGAACCTATAGGAAGCAGCCTGTCTGGGTTTGAATCCCAGCCCTGCCTCATCCCAGCTCTGTGACCTTGAACAAACAGCTGCGCCCTCTGTGCCTTCCCTTCCCCACCCGACAACAGGAGCACCTTCCACACAGGGCTGCAGTGAGGACCCAAGGGCTCATGCATGACGTACTTAACATGGCTCCTGGCACTAAGCGTGTGCTCAGAGCCCGCCACTGAGGCAGCCTGGTCACTGGCCACATGCCCACGCTTCGCCGGCTTTACCTGGCTGCTGGCTCGCGAGTAACTGGCTGATGCTGCGTTAGGGCACACTCACCGGCCCAGCCACTCAGCGCTTGAATGCCGTGCATGTGCTTTCATACAGACAGACATTCATTCCCCACCCATGGCCTGGCCTGGGAGCACAGTCATGAGCAGGCTTATTGAGCTCGGTCTTGTGGGGCTCCCGCTCTGGTGGGTGGAGACGGAAATAAGCAAATAGGGTCCCTCATCACGGAACAGGTGCTCTGAAGAAAAACAAGGCCAGGCTGGAGGGACAGAGAGGGCTGGGCCAGAGTTAGTTTACATAGGACAGCCAGGAAGGCAAGTGTACTCTGGGGGTCTGCAGGATGTGTGTCCAGACGGGAGTCGCTCTCTCTCATCTCTTGCTTTCCTTCCTTCTTCTATCCCTTCTTTTCTTTCTTTTTATATTGTCTGAGGCTGTGTGCTCTCACCAGAGAAAGACAGAGACAGAGGGAGGGAGAAAATACTTCCCTCCCCCCACAGTCCTTTCTCCATCTCTGTATCCTGCTGGGATTTGGGGTGCACACGCACATGTGCTGGCTTCACACTGTGGTTGGCCACGTGGCATCCAGCTCCCTTGGCCACTAGATGAGAGGGCTACCCCCTTTCCCCTTTCTTTTCCTCCTCCTCCTCTCTCTCTTTTCCTCACTCCTTTCCTCCCTTTCTCCCTTCCTTCCTTCATCTCTCTCTCTCTTCCCCCTCTCCCTCTGTCCTCCCTCCTTCCCTTCCCTGTGTTGGCTTTGGTGCTATCTGCACTGTGGGAGTCTGGGGCTGATCATCTCCTTCCTCTGACACTCAGTTCTGAAGACAACGGGTCGTGGATTGGCAGGGATGAGCTCCCAGGGAGGCCCAGGTGGCCAGGCCCTTGCATAGCCAGTCCTGTAACGTGTTTCATATCTGAGGCTCTTCTGTAGGCAGCCAGCCATCCTTGTCAGCACTCCCTGCTGTGTTCACACTGCTTCTCTAAATGCTTCCAAGCACATGGGACCTGTGTTGAGAATTCAGAGTAAGCAATCCCTCCCCGGTGAGGACATTCTCTCTGGGTGGGTGGACTGGCTCTGTCTGACTAAACAAGGAGAGAATGTACAGGGTGTGGGGGGTAACCAATCAGGAGCTTGTCCACCGGCTCATGCCAGCTTCAGAGGAGACTCAGGAGCAGGGGGTTGGTGTGCTTTGTTTAACTCTACCTAGAACTTTTTTTTTTCCTTGGAAAAATGTCTGGAGCAAATCTGATAACATATTAGTATCTGTCAGATCTGAATAGTAAAATGAGAATACTCATGGTTATCAGCAACTTTCAAATATTTTTGACCATGGACAAAGACCATGATCATGACTATATATATATATACATATATATTACACACACATATAGATATATATATTAGGTTTTTGCCATAGGGCACATGTGCTCACTGGAGACAGATGGACACAGAGAGAGTGATGGCCATGCCACAATCTCTTCTCTTCCATTCTACTCTCAGGATTTGGGGCACACACACAAAAGCAACCAGGTCTGGGCCTCAAACTATGGTTTTCTGTGAGGAAATCCAGTGCCTTAACCACCATGTTACCCGTTAGCCCCAAAAACAATATGTTATACACCCAGGACACACACACATAGGCACACATGCGTGCACACACACACACTACTCATGGACCTGGAACAAAGGTCACAAATAATGTTCATAGTCCCTACTTTGACCACCCACAATACATCTGATGGTGTTCCTGCTATTCTAGCCTAGTCTACACAAGGCTGTTCAAGATGCTAACCTGCAGTCTTCCGTGTTGACTTCACAACCTCGTAGTTGTTCAGGGGAGAAACTGTGTTGTTACTCTCTGTCCTTTTCTGACTGGCATATTTCACAATGACAGTATCAGTGACCATTTATACATGTATCGCTTCCGATCTTTGTGCTAAATATTTCATGTGCGCATTTCACTGAAGCATCAGATTAACCACAGGAATCAGGTATTGTGTTACCCCATTTTCTAAACCGTCATCCTGATGCTAAGAGAATCTATACCTTGTTTGGATCACCCTGGTGGGAGGTGTGAACTGGGATTTTTCAGATGACAGTCAGGCCCTTTTCCTCTTGCTGTAACTTGGCGGTGACCCCGCCTCGGAGGTATAGACACCAGGGACCTCAGGACAGTAGGAAGGAAAGTCTGTCGTGGGGTGTTTGGGCTGGAGCACTGAAAAGAGCACTGAGTTGGAGTCAAGTTTTAGGGTTCACGCTCCAACTGAAAATTTTGGGAGGCCTTGGAAAAGATATTTTACCTCTTTCCAAGCCTTGTATCTTTAAAACAGGAAAGATAGTATTGTACAGGCCGTGTGTTTTAAGTTTATTTACTTAGCTCATTAGTTCTAGAGAGAGCGGCAACCTCAGTAGACGTTCACGCTGCAATCTCCTCCCAGCCCTCCCGGCCAGCCAAGAGCACAGCACACACACACGTGCCCAGTGTGCATCCGTCACCCTGGGAGCTGTGCTCCATCTTCCACAAGGCTCCAGGGTCACGGGGTGACCCACTGTGGTTGTCACTGTGGCTAGCCAATACGGGCCCTGGTTTTATTTGTTGTCACTGCAGCTGCACAATATGGGCCCTGGTTTCACCTTCCAGGAGGTTTCAGAGAAAACAGTGGTTTCTGCAGAGTGCTCTGCTGTAAGGTCCTGGCTAGGTTTTGTGGGCGAGGCCAAGGGGAGCTAGCAAGTCTCTGAGTGAAGAGCAAGGGCCGCGAGCCAGCAGCCCAAGTGTGAAGCCCATCTCTTGCATTTCCCAGCTCTGTGACTTTGGGCAAGTCATTCAACCTCTCTGCTCTTCAGACTCCTGACAGCCAAAGTGGAATTAACTGAAATCTACTTCTCAATGCTGTCTTGAGAATTAGAAATCAGTTTTGCAGCATGCAGCTGAAAGACTGGTATATTACATTTAGTAAAGGAGACTTATCTTCAATCATGAGTTTCGCTGACTTTAAGTGGAAAACTGAGAGATGGACACCAGGCTCCACACACTATATTAAGTGAGGAAAAGATCAAAAGCTGCTATGTGTTTTTATCTTCATGGACAAAAGCTCCTTCTTAATTTCTAGCCTCAATTCTTCATATGAAGAATACAAAGTTTTGGAAACTGCATGGAAACTTTGTTCTGGGAGACGGCAATGCTATGGCCTGTCTGCTCAGCTCTGAGCACCAAGGGGACAGGTGGATGAAGGCAGGGGGCAGGTGGTGGCCAGCTCCGGGTCATGACTCTTCCTTGATGAAGGCCTTCCTAACGCCCCACCTCAGGTATTGGGTGGGTCGAAAACCAGGCCTGGAGCACATGTGAAGGGGCAGTTTGGAGGCCTGGGAGGTTAAGAATGGTACTACTTGAGTTCATCCTAGGTTGCTTTGCCACTCGGGGAAGCACAGTCTGCTTCCAATTCCTCACACAACGTAGCCACCGTGCAGACTGAGAACCAGACCTCCAGGCCCCACACCAGTGGTGCTGGCCATGGCTGTGCAAACTCAGGGAAGTGGCTTTCCTTTTCTGGGCACCATTTTCTCAGCTGCAACATGAGGGGTTTTAGTGAGGCCTCGGGCCAGGATACCAGCCCCTCCCGAGCTGCGGAGGAAGTAGGGCTGTGTTAATAGGATGTAGCCAGACTGCGTGATGCTGCTCACCAGGACTCAGATGGGGAGTGCTGACTGGAGGGATGACCCTGCCTGAGCTGCGCTCTGCAGCAGCCTCCTGTGGTGGCAGCTAGGACAGGAGTAGTCGCCGTACACTGGTACCTACTGCACACAAGCCACCACGCTGGGCCCTGGTGCCCTAGTTCATCCCATGAACCCTGGGGGGCTGGACAAGGAGAATGGCTCAGAGAGGTTAGGTGCTTTAGTCACAGTCACAGCTAAGCAGGTTGTGACGAGAGGAGCAAACCCAGCTCTATCCTGCCATCGCCATCCCATCAAGCAGATACTGGGCCTTCAATTCCTGTAGTTCCTGAGAATCAGGCTGCTGAAATGAGCCCCAATGCCCCAGGCACCGTGAGGAGCACTGAGTTTTCAAAATGCCAGCTGTGCTCTGGCTTCTGAGCCTTTCCAGTGCTGTTCCTTCTCCTAAATGCCTATCCCTGGCTTGCCTAGATTATGGCTGCTGAATGAACAAGACCCATGCTTTGGAGATTTTAGCATGCCTTCAAGTGGCCTAGAAACCTTGATGGTGTGAAGATTCTGACTCAGCAGGTCTTGGGTGGAGCCCAAGAAGGTGCTTTTAACAAGCTGCTGAGCGATGCTATTGCTCTGCTAGGGCCTTCGCCCCATTCCACAGTGCTCAAGCTCCTGGGCGTTGCCTAAGAGTTACCTCTTCCAGGAAGCAGGATAATGATTGAGAGAACAGACCTGAAGTCAGTGTCCAGACCTGGTTCCACCTTGGTGTTCTGGGACCCTGAATAAATCACTTATCTGCTCCGCACCTCAGTTTCCTTATTTATGCAACATAGATAACAAATGCCAATGGAATAGATTTGCCATCAGATCACAGTGAAACATGCATGTGAAGAGTTTATTGGCACATGGCTTGGCTGATTATTATTAACCTGCCCCTGGCTAGGGCAGGGGTCTGTGA